GAAATGTGGTTTTCGATCGAATTTTCATTGAGGTATAAATTAACTGAATTTACCTAGTTGTGCTCGCTTTGTACGTACAAGTTACATCGGGTGCTTGCTATAAGGTTACGAGTAATTTTTCAATTTGATCCGTGGTCCTTGTAATGTAACAGTTGGGATTTCGCGGCGATCATATCATTAACTTTTCGTGGAGTGTCAATTGTGGTAGTCAGGCGTTCAAGTCATTCATACTAGACACATCTCCGGCATACTTAATCGGATTGTCATGCTGTCCAGTTTTTAAATTATTTTTTCCTTTTCTATCTTTAAGAATGCAGGGTGTTTGGTTCTATAGTTGTCTCTGTTTTCTTTCTTTTCTTTGTCAGAACTTTCTAACTTTCTTAATTCCAGCTTCCTCAGACAGCACCCTTGTCGCTATGGGCTACCTATTTGCAACGATCCCCAAGGCGAGCAGCGCATTAATCCCTGGGTAATTTCCTGGGGTCTCTTTGGCGTTCTGTTGCTATTTAGCCCTTTCTATCTGATTTTTTTTTGTCAGGATGTTAGTCAGCGGTGTCACGATAAACTTCATTTAAAATCATATCACGCACTCTCACTGCGTAACTGCGCTACGTTTGACTCATTGTGGCTCGTGTGTAAACAGTTTCAAATTAGTATGACTGCAAATTGGCCGATTAACTAACGAATCACAAGGAAGTCACTCCGGTGTAATTCTTTATCCCACAACTATTAGTTGGCTCAGTAAAAGAGTCTCTGATTTAAATTATGTGTATCGCCATTTATCGTTTCGGCTCAGATGATGTTTTACTGCTCAGCATCTTCTGGCAGTATTACGATCATAATTTCTAACCTCTAGTTCTAATCATAACTTAAATACAATATTAATGTACATTTAGTTATAACCAGTTTCCCCAGATGCGTTTATAATATGAGCCTTATATACAAAAACAGACGAGGTAACAGAGGGGATTTAACATACTCACCATCTGGACATGTCTTACAATCAAACGGACTTTTCCCTGGAGCGTTATTGTAATGGACAAAAGTCCCATTTTTGCAGTGAAGGCAGCTGTCATTTACAAAAGCCAGCTGGTCTGAGTAGAAACCTCCTGGAAGAAGAAAGGATAAAAAAATGAATCACTACCAAGGGAAATTAAGAAGTAAAAATAATATAAAAGAAAACTTACTGGGATTTAATGGGAACCTAAACTCTCAAAAATNATACTCACCATCTGGACATGTCTTACAATCAAACGGACTTTTCCCTGGAGCGTTATTGTAATGGACAAAAGTCCCATTTTTGCAGTGAAGGCAGCTGTCATTTACAAAAGCCAGCTGGTCTGAGTAGAAACCTCCTGGAAGAAGAAAGGATAAAAAAATGAATCACTACCAAGGGAAATTAAGAAGTAAAAATAATATAAAAGAAAACTTACTGGGATTTAATGGGAACCTAAACTCTCAAAAATATTGAACTGAGTTATAACAGCATAATTTAATCAACTACCCCGTGAAAGAAAAAATTGAGCGCATGTAAACCTTGCAATTAAAGTTTAATTTATTACACACCTTTTGAGATGTATAGTTTTTGTTTTCTTTTTCCCAGGAGTTTAGGTCTGTTCACCGAGCCATAAAGAAAAGTATTGTGTCCAGTAATAAAATGTATCTACTAAACATCAGCTTCTGTCTTACATGTAAACTTCACACACCCAAAAGGAGAAAGTATTAGGGTTGTTATGGGTGCAGGTGTCGCCGAGGCCTTGAGACTCTGAATCTGTTCGAAAGCGCATCCGTCTATTTCACTACCTTGTGTAGACGAAAAACTTGATAACTTTGTGTAAAGCTCAATTAATATAACTCCATATTCAAGGCTAAATATATCTCCTTTCTTTACTTAGCTAGCCACGTGGGGTGGCAAAAAGAAAAAGAAATTCGACAACCGGCTTGACTTGACAATGACGACAGTCCAACGAAATGGACAATGTGTGTAAACCAAAAAAAAAAATTCGAATATATCTCGCTTGTGTTTTTCTCTGCCTTGTTTCCCTTTTCACACAAGAAAGTATACTTTAATTTTGGATTTGACATTTTAGAATGGGACTTTAAAGCAAGTAGGCAGGTAGGCACATTATCAATCTTGAGTAATTTTTTGTTTTTTGTTTTTTTTGTACGTTCGTTTTCTTGTTTGTTTGTTTTTTTAAGAAAAACCTTACTATAATATCTTTGCTGACGTTATATATTGTTAACAAGGCAACTATAGGCTTGAGAGTCGGAATAACTCAGCGTCGAAATTCAAAATGACCGTCTTGTGATGTTTTAATCCTTTATTTCACAATTCTTTCAATCAGAAGGAAAAACGGCATTTCACTGCTACAATTCTTAGAAATAAAGTCAATTCTCTCGCCTTGAGGCCGCGTCGCTGTTAGTAACATCTCTCTTGTACCGAAATCCCCAGCAAAGATTACAGGCGTTTGCGGACTAAAACATTTGAAGGATTCAGAAACACTTTTTATCGACCCTGACAACAAATTTTTACTGTTGTAACACTCATTTTGATGGAAAACGAACGGGATCTTTCAACATTTAATAGCGATAACATTGGTTTCTCTCTTTTAAAACATCTAATTTCTTTTTCTTCAGGTTATCGCTTTTCTTCTGTTGCGGCGTATTAATTGAAATTCCATCTTCTCCACCTCTTTAGGCCAGCAGACTAGTCTTGCTACCATTAATAAGTTCGTCCAGTCCATCCAAATATTTTGTCAGCTAAAGTTGTTTCTACACCAAATCTAATTCTTAACACGTTAATGTATAAACCAAAGTTTTTAAAAGAAATTTCTCCTTGCTCCCCTGACTCGTGGTCCCGACGGTGTCCGCTCTAACGAGACTTGCCCCCAATGAAAATGTGAGTACTTGTTTTTTTTCTGCTTTTCCCCCCAATTTCTCCACGAGGGCAAAAGTGAATTTATAGGGGCAGTCTTCGTTTGATCAAGCTTAAGAAGTAGTGCAAGAATTTTTTTGTTTTATTTACTATTTTTTCCGTCTTGTTTGTGTGTGTTTTGTGTAGCTGTGTGTCGTGTGTGTACCTGACCCTTAATAAAAACATTTATTAATAACCTATGTAAGGCTGCCCTATCTTTTTAGCCCTCAATGATTATTATGGGCACCTTTTTTTATACTCTCTATATATTTAATAGTATTTTTTATACAATGTAAATCAATGTGGAGTACAAAATACAGTTGTTGTTGTTCAGTGTTGTTGTAAATAACACCATCAATGAAATTGGATTCTAAAGACGAGAAAAATGTATCTAATGGTGAAAAATGTCAACTTTTACAGTAATAACGTCATAAGGTCATAACTGACATTTCATCACGTTAATCGGTTAAGCTGGAGAGGTACTCAAACTATGCGAAGTTTTTTAGTGATGGCGTTAGCCTGTCTTGTTCTTTAGGAAGGGACACTTTTTCGCCCACAAAACAGGGTTAAAAATGAAGGAATACAGTTTAAACAAGGTTCTTGAAAGGTCGGCTCTCCTAGACAAGTTGCAACGTAATTATAAACCTGGTCCCAGAAGTTGTTTTGTTTTTAGCGAGACAAGCAGCTAAAAAACAAACCTACTGAGATAACGCACATTAGTTTAGGCTACTGAAGCCTATTCACATGGTACAATCAAAACAATTAAACGTTTGCTTCATATCAGCTGGGGATTCCAGCAGGATGTTAGATTCATTTTGTAACTTGCAGTCAACAGTAGTCAGGTAATTTAAAAAGGTGGCGGCCTCAATTATCGTGAATAAAAAGCAGTTCCAATACCTGAAACTGTTACTGTATTTATAATTACTAAACATTATGATTATCCTATTTTAGTGGATCAACACCGTCAATGTTAGGCTACCGGAAATGGAATTCTTTCCTGAGACCAAAAAAATTGGCGAGGACTGTTCTTTGGTTAAAAAAATTGCAGACATCCGAAAGATCTCTCTGCTTTAAGTATTCTATTAAGAAAGAAAAACTTTTCATCTGATACTCTATAAAGTTCACGTTAAACAATGACAGCAAATTGTCCATATCAAGGGAATCTCCACGATTTAAAGATTTAAAGATATTGTCAGTTAGACTAAGAACTAATTTACCTGCTGGACACTCTATGCATTTCTTGGCTTCAGAGGAGGCATTAACGAACCACCCCAGTGAACATGGTAGTAATTTGTATTTTCCAAGAATTTGATTGGCAAATCCAGATTGTTTAAAAGCTGGCAGTAGTGGGTCTGCCATCCAAGGATAAGGAAAGAAGGAAGAGATGTCGATATATTCAGAATCATCATACCCTACGCCGCTAAAATGAAAAATAAGAAAAAAAAGACTAAGTAATCGCTATCTAGTAGGGGCTAATGATGAAGACAAAAATAGCTGCACATAATATTCGTATTTCTGATATCTTTGTTATCATACTAATTAACTCACAGACGAATTGTGTAGCTGAATCCTGCATCCCAGAATTTCATAATCCCAATTTTTCCTTCTTCCAAACTTCTATTGAAAAAGAGCGGTAGAGAGATGATAAGAATCGCTAAGTTTGCAAACGGAAAAAATATGTAACTGATACAATCAGATCCCGGCGGAATTGTTGTGGAAGCTTTTACAGGTTTTTTTTCTGTTTTTGAATCCGCGAAAGTTAATAATTGTGCTTTGCAAATTTTCTCTTAAATCTGGACCCTTGTATTCAATATTAAGGGAAAAGACGAATTTTACAGACTAACACGTACACGTTTTTAGCATTTTTGTAAAGAAACTATCCAATTGTACTGTATTTGACGAGAGAAAACGGCAAAACAGCGAGGAAAAAGGAAAAAAATGCAAAGCAAAGTTTCGCCACACATGTATTGTCCCTACGCCCCTTTACGCCATCGATGAAGCGGGGAAAATCAACCGTTTGCCGAGGTGAGTCTATGTAGCAGGAAACTACAGGCATTCTTTTTTGTACAGAAAGTTAAAAGATTAACCTCTTTGCAACTATTTAGTTTGATAGTATCCACTTTTTTAACAAAAGAGCAACTGAAATCTTAATTTTTCCCTCTGAACAATAAAAGAGTTAAAAAATGTACTTATAGTAAATATTTGCTACATCGCAGTGATCCGCAGTATTAGACTCATCCCTTAATTTATGGCTTTTGACTCATCACATTTGTTACGAAACTAGACGAGATATTTGTATTGCTTTCAACCCGCCATTTAGTGATGACGAATGAAGAAAAGATTTAGCGTCACAAAAAAATACTGCCCTCCCTTCCTAGCTCTCAATGTCCACCTTCGTGATCCAGTTTCGACTTTCTTTTCGCTCGTTTCGACTAGTTGAGATCGCGGAAAAGGCCAGACGAAACCAGGGCGGATAAAGGTTGGGCGGTGAAACGAGCGCTCCGCTCTTCATTTAATGTGTGATGCGGAGTAGGACTGGCGCGAGCGCTCTTTCCGCGCTTCCGGTGCGCTTGAAGGCCGGCGAAATTTTCCTTNGCGTTGTACTTCTTCAAACTTTGCTTCTCGGGTGCAACGCGCCATGGCGATTCGCGCAATGCGTTGCAAAATCCGGCAACCGCATGTAAACAAAATTTATTGAGGTTAGTTTTAAGGTTTTTTCTCCGTTTTTCTCTCTTAAACAAAACAAGGTAAACAGTAAAAACTGAGGGGAAACTAATTTTGAAGTTTCGAAGTAACAGAAAGACGTATGAGATGTTTTTTTCAAAATTAAAAAGAAGGATGATGGTGATTGAAATTAGCATAATTTCACCTTGCACGAGCTGCACGCATTTATAAAATACACGTCATCTACTGCTGTCTTTTAGTTTTGCTAGGGATGACATGGATGAGATTTTCCTTCGTGTTTTAGACAGTACTTAGTTGTTTTTGTTTTGGAATAACATCGACATTGGCAAGTAGCAGAACGAAAATATAATTCAGTGGTAGAGCCATGGAAGTAATAAAAGAAACCCTTTAAAAGAGATGTTTGTCTACTCCAACTAAACCTCCCGCAAAAAATAGCAACATTTGCCTCTCGGAGGCAGCGTACCAGCACAAAGTAACGAGGAAGAAGTGCAAGAAAACAATTCAAGCTGCCATAATTCAGTGACAGCGGCAGTGTCTAATGTACAAACCACATCGCAAGCCCTGACCGAAGTCGAAAACAAGCGACATTTCTAAGCAGAGTCCCAGTCCACTGCATCACACCTTTTTGCTCGGACGCGCTCGTTTCACCGCCCTACCTTTATCCGCCCTGGACGAAACTGTAAACAGGCGCTTTTTTCCTTTGTTTCAATTTTTTCTTCAATTTTGAGTCTAAGACATCGGTTGTGATATTCAACTACAAGTATAGTTTACATATGAAACGTACTTACATTTTAGTCCTGAAATGGTCCTTAATTCCGTGGAAAGATCTAAGGCTAGCTGTCTTCATGTTTGTTCGTATCATGTATCTTAAAGAATAAGGAAGAAGCGTTAATTATGATAGATCACCGCATTTCCACCGTTTTGATTTGATAAAACCTTACGTGTATCTCCAATGTAAAGTTTTCTCCTAAACAAATAATTTATAATAATTTAATTTGAGCTAGTGTCAGGGCAGCACCAAAATAATCAAATGAAAAACAATTCATGCTAGAAAAAAAGGAGATGAAGGATAGACTTAAAAGGGAGTGCGAAAATTTACATCGCCTGCACTTTTTTTTTTTCAAGCCTGACGCATCTTCTTGATGGCAACTTTGACAATTACAATTATCAGTGGGAGAGATCCTTCTACAAGGAATAAAGAACTTTAATTTGTCCCGCGTTGTGGTCATCAAACTAGTAGTATCCTTTTATTTCGTCTGCTTAAATTAAAGTGTTCTCCAAAAGTCAGAACTGGCCGCTCTGACCATGGACGGACAGGCCATTTTGGAAATGAAATAGGCTTTTTCCAAACTATTTCCTTCGTGCATGCTATTTAGAATTTGACTGATCTGGCTGGATAGTTTTGATTAAAAGTGAAATTCTCATTACGACGGGAATGGCCCGGCCGGTCAGTTAGGTGTAAAGTGCATATAGGGTCCCTTAGGTGTGGTTTAAGCACATGTTTTAGTATTCCCTGTCTACAATGATAACAGAAATAATAGCAACATTATTAAATTAAAATACCAAAAAATAATTTTAAAAAGCGTAAAAATAGCTCTATGGACAATGAAGGTTTTGATTGATGAAATGAATCTCTAAATCATGATCCACAGCACTGTATTTTACATGGTTTTGTTTTGAGAGATTTCATTATTACCAAACTTTTATCTTTTCAAACCTGTTTAATCTTTAAAGTTCTCTGCTTTTATCAATTCATTCTCGGCCTTTTTTGCTTCTTCGCCTCTCTTATTTTATCGCTATTGTCTCTTTAGTGCATTTTTTGCCCTTGTTCCGTCGGAGAAAGCGAGAGATGTCAACCTGTGCCACCTGTTGTTTATCATTTGTTATAATAAAGTTCCGATACAACACGCAAGAAGATTGGTTGAAAAAGCATCTTTTATGTGGAGAGTACCAGTTTACATGGGGCTGTAAATTCGTGGGTAAATGCGGTATTTACCATCATGATTTAACCTTAGTTTGCACTTTTTGCATCATACTTGCACCGGGTACATAAATTTGGTGTAAATCAAATAGAGTACCGAAGCGATGACGTCATAAAAATTAAATTTGTGAAATTATGGGATTTGTTAAGATATTCTGAAAGAACAAAGTCCAAGACGCCTACTCGCCAAAAATTAGCAATTCGGGGAAAATTGTCTCTGAGATATTAGTCCAGTTATGCTGTGACGACTCCATACAAATCCTTCTAAATTTGGCTTGGTTAGTAGTATAGGGCGCACCGGTTAGGCCGTTTTTTTGCGGAGGATTCTCATTAGAGTGCGGAGGAATACATTAACGCCAATGACGTCATAACCTTTTGTCTTGATCTCATGAATAAAATGCGCAGGAATCTCATTAACTTGCGGTGGAATCTCATTAAGT